ATATTTTTTATGTGTGTGTGTGTATGTATTTGAGTGTGTGTGTGTGTGATTTTGTATGTGTAAGTACAGTAGCTAACAAAAGAGCGAATATTTTGTTTTATGTATGTGTGCTTTTTGTCGGGTTTTCCTCTCCGCAAGCAATGAATGTTTGTTAATTGGTTAGATGGATTGGGTTGTTGTCTCTTTTCATTTTATTCCAAAATGATACACGCACGCACGCACAAACACACATAAACGCACACAGTCACACACATACATAAACACATTCAAACACATACATAGTAACTCACAAATACATACAAACATACATACAAACAAACAAACATACATGAGATAACGTCATTTTTCTACACACACAGACTATCAGGCACGCATACATATACATGACTGCCACGTCTTGCATTACGCTTATTAAGAAAGAGAGAAAAAGAAAAAGAGAGAGAGAGAGAGAGAAAGAGAGAGAGAGAGAGAGAGAGAAAGATAGAAAGAGAGAGAGAGAGAGAAAGAAGGAAGGAATCTAATCAACCTTTCTTCATTTCTTTTTCTCTCTTCTGTCTATTAATTTACTATTCCAAGCTAACCATCCACACCCAAGTATTCTTGCACTTAGAAATTTATTTTTTAAAATACTCCGTGATTTGCAACAAAAAAATTAAATAATAATAATAAATAATGATAATAATAATATATAATAATTATTAATAATTATTAATAATAAGTTGATGAATAACGTCTTTCGGACAAGCTGATTTTTTTAGCGTCTCTGGCAAACATTTCATGAAGGGTTATTTAAGTGCAGTTTCACTTGCACAATGATCTCATACAAACAAACAAGATACTTCACATACAAAACATACAATCGTACATAACTAAGAAAACATACAAGCCAGACATACAATGCACGCACACAAAACAAACAAACTCACACATAAACAAACACACACACGCATTCATGTACTATACACATTCACATTGTATCGTTTTTATATTCAATAGTACATACACACCTACAAACATACACATACATACACATTCGTACATGCATAGATCCATGCATACGTATATAAAGGAGGGAATTCAGATAAAGAAATTTAATCCTTACGACACTTTGTAAAAAATTGTGAAAAGATATTTCTTGCTTATATGGATAGATATTGGAGTAGATAAATGGATATATAGATACATATGAAAATATATAGCAATATATATTCGAAGATACATTGGGGTTGTGTTGAGAGGTACAGAGATAGATAAATTTTTGTCTTAATACCTTTTGATTTATTTCAATGTTAATAGTTAGGATGATTAAAGATGATTAATGAATAGTATTTTATTAGGTTAATACACAAAATAATATATTTAGGAATTTCTGGCATGCTTCATAACTTATTTGTTTTTTAAAAAATTAATAATTTTAAGAATGATTTTGTCAGTTTTACACCCCTAAGCATTTAATAAATTTGCTGTAGATGAAATATCGTGAAGATGTTTGATCGTTCATAATTTGTATGGAAAAAATGATCAGAATGTCTCTTCCAAGATGAATTAATAACTCAAATTATACATTTCCTCATCATAATTACACAATAGTACGCTGAAAAGTTTCGAGTTAATATTTTTAAAGTAAAATAAAATTTTCGTTTTTTATTTTTAAATAAAAAATTTGAATTGTTGAAAAAATGCCTGAAAACACGGCGCGCCTCACCCTGCTATCGATGATGAGCGATTTGGAGCACTTATTGAAGCGCCACCTAGCGACGCTGAGAAACTCTCAGCTGGAAAGAAAACAAAACAACAACAATAATAATAAAATGAAAAAAACCTCGAGTCGCCAACACGATTTCTACCAGGCGACACCACTTCCAGCTAATATTTTGGTTGCCTCGGTCAGCTATAAGAATTTACACAACACGAACAACAAGAATAAGGAGAAGGTATTGTGTTGCGTTGAGGGATTGTGTGTTTAGTTGGTTGGTTGGTTGGTTGATTGAGTGAGTGAGGGATTGAAGAGTTACAAGTTTATTAGTAGTAAAAAAAACTATGTAATATGAATGAATGAATTTACTGAGGAATTACGCAACCAACGGTTAGAAAAAAAATGAAAATTAAAAGTTTTATCATATGCATCTATTCCATCATTCATCCCAATCACACATATATCAGATAACAGTTCGGGTAAAAGTGAACTTCATGAAAATCGGAGTTATAGATACCATTCGCGACAGATACCACGCTGACGTCATGGTCCAAACAAAATGGCGGGAACCAAAATTCGATGAATATGCATTGGTCGATTCAGCTTTTTTTTTCATTCAACTCACCGCATCTTCACTCTTTTGTTATATTTTTTATTTTGAATTACTTTTTAACGATACTAATTATTTTATTCACATGTGAAAAGTATTCATGATAATTTGCAGAAGTTTGTTGGCGCTTTAAGCACTTCATGAAAAATATTTCAAGCGACTTGAAATTTTGAGCTAAATTTTTAAAAACAACAACTAACATTAGAAGGATTTTTTTTCAAATTGAGCATGTCAATTTATGTCTTGTCATGTCAACGAGCATGTCAATTAACGCAACGAAAAAAATGTGCAGAGTCTGGATCAGGCCAACCTGGAAAGCTGTTGGAATCCGCATGTGACGATCTGGAACGGCGTTGAAGACTTGCAGTACGAAACAACCATCTTTCTTGAACTTGACTCCGATCAGAGGGCCTGGATTTGCGAGAGAAAAAGAACGCGTGGACAATTTTTTGAATTCATGGAACTTCGAAAATTTCCATTTGATGAGCAGGTTACAACAGGATTATTTTAGACCGTTAAATTTAAAAATGTTAACTGTCTTTATTTAAAGTTATTATTTGTACAATTTATTCAGAGAAAAAAAATCGTCTTAAGTTTACTTTCCTTACCTTAGTAATTTTTAAATGAAAACATTACTCCAATCAGCAACGTTATATTTTAACTCGAATTTTTTAAAATTAAAATTCAAAATATAAAAATGTTTGTCTTGTAGCAATGACGTAATGCACACGCATCAGGCATCTATTGAATATAAAATTTACGAAATTAATCAATAGCTTGAATTTGAAATAAGTTTCACACTCTCAACTCACTCCAATCAATCAAACAAACAACAAAGGATTTAACAGTGATGGTAGTGAGTGACAGGAGTGAGGCTGAATTGGAATTCCTCCAGGATTGCAATCAGAAAAGTGCTGTCAATCCGGATACGTTCAGCGCAGCTCAAGAATGGTATTTATACAACGATGTCACAGTCTGGACCAAAATAACAGTCAAAAATAAAGAAAACCACCCTTGTTTCTGTGTGGCCGCCAAAGTTTCACGAAGACCTCAGTTTTTTATTTACAATATTGTCGTTTTCATGGTTAGTGCCGAACGATTTCGTGTTGAAAGTTTTTTGCTTCGGTTGATTTTGCTCGGAACATTCATGAATTTACATCTTCATATATCTATTCGTATTGACCTTTGTTTGATCTTTCCAACGTGTATCGCATTGTTTCTATTTCAATCATCAAAAACAGAAAATTGGTTTATACAACATAAAACAAAAATCGCTAAAAATTTTTGAAACGAGATTTTATTTTCCAAACAGTTTTTCATCTGCAGTCTCTCCTTCGCCACGTTTTCCGTTCAGCTGAAACTGCCAGAGTTCAGAATACTGCTGACTTTCCTGCTCATTCAGACAACGGTCACATTCAAATTCACCGTCAACAACAACTTACCCAAGATCCCCTACCTCACGTACCTGGTGGGCTTTTTTTCACTTCTGCATTTTGCTACATAGTTATCTCCCTTATAAACCTTTAAAACATATTTTGTGATGCAACTGGAATAACAACGTTTTGATCAAGTTATTTTATGACGAGAAACAAGGAAGAATAACAACCTGGATGCAGTTTACAAATTATTTTGAACTCTTCGGTACTAACGCGGTAAGGTAATATATAAATGAAATTCTTATTTGGAATAATCCCAAATAAGCTATGAGTTATGTCCTCGTCTGAATTTTAAAAAACGATTTTCAAAAAATGACGTTGAACCTTCATTTCAGCTAAATATAAATTTTAAAATAAAATCGGTAATTTTTTTTAAAAGAAATAATATCATTCAAAACCACGCAGGACAAATACATATTAGGTTCGATGACCATCTTGTGTTGCATCGGAATCTGGCACTCTGTATGCGGTTCCTTGATCGCTCCAGTTTCACCAAGTGACAATACATCGGCCGCATTTAATACCAGCCTCGTTCTAGCAGAAACATTCAGCTGTGAAAAAATTGTTAAACAGGATCCGACAGAGACAATATTGCTGGTGGACCGAGTAGTCTTAGGAATATTTGCCTTCGCCTATATAACTTTTCATTTTTGGTTCTTGGTCCTCATCATTCATTATGTTAGTTTATGACTGTATTTGATTTTTGTATGTAAACTCAATGTGATACCAAAAATATAAAACCAAGATCAGACCGTTAGATATTTTAGTCCACACTGCAAATAGTGGTAACGGAGTATAATGCGGGTTGACCAGGTAACGTCCATACTATTGCGAAACGATAGAATTATATGAGAGTTATCTCAAATGGTGAACATTTTAATTGCACCTGCCTGCCACGTTCAAAAAGGAAATTGCTGCTCACTACAAGCATTTTTTGGGGGAATATTGAAAAAATCTTATGCCGACTAAGTAGACACTTTGATTGATATACAATAATGTGCAAAAACGCATATTTTAACGAAATATTTTTTGTTCACAGAAAAAATATGTAATCTTACGCCCACTAAGTAGACACTTTGATTGATATACAATAATGTGCAAAAACGCATATTTTAACGAAATATTTTTTTGTTCACAGAAAAAATATGCAAGCCAACGAAATGTAAGTTCACATTTTAATTTTTAAAAGTAATATTGCAATGAAATATTATGAATTCAGCATAAAGGATCGGCAGACGACAATCGAGATCTACCGTCAAACCCAGGAAGTCGAGATCATTGAACCCTGAACGATTAACAACTCCTTCAATGGCTTCATGTAGGAGACCAGTGTACATATTCATAAACATGAGCATCAATTTCTGTTTTATCATTAGCAGTAGTATTACACACATAAACATCTTGTAAAGTATCAACCTATATAACCCAGGTATAAATAGCTTATTTTATGTTTGATTCTTATCAAAAATGACACAACCGCATGTTATTAATATAGTGGCCATACTTGATGTAATAAGCAACGTTAAAGTTTATACAATTAAAATGGTGAAAAACATTTCCGAATGTATGACGGACTTTTCATGACGAGAAGTGGAGGTAGAAGTAATAATAATAATGTAATCTCTTTTAGTATAGGGAATCAACGACATAAAAATCAAAACCCATATAGTTAAAAATGATTAATTATACAACAAAATCCCAACTGCTCATTGTCTGACGAGTGCAAATAGGTGACATATTTAAAACGGTTATAAGGGTTTCTGTCGCCACAGTAGAAATAATTTATCGGCGAAAGAACTCGGCTATAAAACTGTAAGTGTCAATAAATTAAAAAAGCCAATTGAAGTAATTTCAAATGTATTTATAATAACAATTTTTAAAATCAGGTCTTAGACATGAATTTAAACTATTAGTGTTATATCGATTGCTCGAAGTTTTTAGTATGAATTAAATTTGTCCCGTGACATACCCTCAAATCCACTTCATTTTTTCCGTCTTGTAAAATGACGATGTCTGGACGACGAGCGACGAACAGAAACGATTGTTTGTTGTGCTGGTGTCATATTATAATGTCATTTCATAAAGAGATTAAGGTGGATCGCTCGAATCATAGCTAGCAGACTGTATGCAAAGAAATTAGGCTGTCAATTATATCTGGCAGCTGCCTCAAAACAAAAATTGACGTCCTTACTGCATTGTTCAAAACTTACGCATTGCTTCCCTAGGTATTATATTTTATAAACGAATTCAAAACGAAAATCAAAGTCAACAAATATTCGCATGTCATCAGGAAATCCAACACAAAGCAAAGCGTGCTGGCACTGAAAATGATTAGTGACCATAAAATGATAAAAAAAAGTTTTGCAAATCAATTTCGACATTGCTTCAATACAACAAATCAACAGAAAAATGATAAAAACATTTAAAATACTTAAATAGATAACAGATTCCTAAACTGGTTGAACACATTATAAAATGTGGAACCTCAGACATCCAAGAAAACAAACTCCAATGTTAATTCAGTTGAAAGCTGCGAATGTGAGAAATTATCTCATTATTTCATCACTGGCTCCAACAACAAATTTGTTCAACGTGAAACACACACAACCAAGAAACAAAATAAGACACATTTTAACAGATAAATAAACTTCGAAATTTAAAATACTCAAAATTGGTTTAGTGACGAATCTCAGACATCCAAGAAAAAGCTTCAATGTTAATTCAGCTGAAAGCTGCGAATGTGAGAAATTATCTCATTATTTCATCATTGACTACATCACAAAACCAACTGATGACATCTCTGCCAAGATGGTCATTGAATACTCTCATATAAAACTTTACCAAGCTAGTTAAGTTTCATTATTAAGTAAACATTGATGAAAGTTGATAGTCACCTGTCTGCAAACAACTTTTATACTGCTTCCCCTTTTAATACACAACAGGAAGTCAGTACAAAAATCAGTAGTGACAAGCTTTTTGACCAGATTTTAAATCAACATCTGAAAAAATACTGAAATATGTCATTATAAACTTTATACAAAAGCTGAAAAATTTTGGAAAAAATGATGGAACCTCAGACATCCAAGAAAACAAACTTCAATGTTAATTCAGTTGAAAGCTGCGAATGTGAGAAATTTATCTCATTATTTCATCATCAGTTCCATCGCTATTTATCAATATCTCAAAACAAAATGATTTGTTTGTGTAGCATTACGTTATAAATTAAAGATGCAAACAGTCAGTGCATAAGACAAAAATTTAAATTAATGATTGTCAACTTGTTTGAAATCAACTTTTGTAACGCTTCCATTAGCATTAACGTTTAACACAAGACAACAAAATCAAAAAGCCTGATGCCAAGAAACATTTAAAATATTGATGGAATCTCAGACATCCAAGGAAACAAACCTCAATGTTAATTCAGTTGAAAGCTGCGAATGTGAGAAATTATCTCATTGTTCATCATTGACTTCATCAAGAACTAACAAAATTTCAATCAGAAAAACCAGCTCAGAGATCTTAGTGGTAGTTTTATCTTCGTCATACAACAAGTAGGATAGCAAATATTAATTACATCATCGCTGATTCATACGTAGGTAACAAATAGTTTATAATCGCCTGCTCAGGTATTAACAATTTCTTAGTTAAAATTTGAATATAAATTAGTGGCTTTCTCAGACATCCAAGGAAAAGCTTCAAAGTTAATTCAGTTGAAAGCTGCGAATGTGAGAAATTATCTCAATTGTTCATCATTGAAGCCACCAAATAACCAAAAAATTGTTGTACATCGTACTTGTTGTACAATGCACAACGTTGTACTTATCACAAATTATACTAAAAATTATTAAACAGACACATGAAAAGGAAAATATTGTGTACAACAATCTCAGCATAATAAAATGTAACAGCATTTATACATCAGGTCAAGTGTGTTAGTTACCATCACTGATTGTTCAGTGCTGCTGAATTTAAATAAGTCATATCAGGAAATTATTGACTATAAAAAATTATAAATGAATTGCTGAAAATAAAATACCAAGATCAGGATTTTTCGAAAAATAAATTTCTTCAAAACTAATCAGATGAACTATGCTTTTGTAAGCATCATATCTTGGTAGTGAAACGAAAGAGTAAAAAAATAAGTCAAAAAATGTAATAATAATAAATCAAATTTAATTTATGGATTGTTAGTGATGCTATCAGATAGGGGCGAATCGTCGACAAATAAATTTCTGAAAGACTAATCCAACAATCATCCTGCACCACGTTTAAATTTAAAAAATTAAATTAAAACGTTGAATTTTGAAAATAAAAATGTTTTTCCACAAGGTTATTGATTGTAATTTAAAATGCATTACAAGCGACCGTAATGTCGAAAACTTGTTGTCGCCACGTTTTTGACCGAATTCATTCATAGTCGAATTGTTCGGCTTCGAACTGGCTTTTCAATTATTATATTAATAAACAAATCAAATTAAACTAATAAATAAAATAAACAAATAAAATGAACAAATAAATAAATTGAAAAATAAATAAAATAACGGACTCGGCCGTTTACTAACCAACCAAGTATAGCGAAAAGCCGAGAAACAAATAAGGGCCGGAAAAGTAAAAACTAGGGTTTATATAGTTTTCCAAAAACTATGAATATGAAAAAGACGAATATGGATTGAAAAGGACGAATTGTTAGAAAATGGATCTGATTATATACATAATCCAGGGAAAATTTAAATTGAGTATTTGTTAGTTAAAAATTTTGTACGAAAATTATCGTAGAAAACATTTTTATTTTTTACTAATCTCTAAGTTCAACAAGTTGATATCATTTTATTCTAATATTCATTTGAATGTAATCGGAAAAGCAATAAATTACGTTGTTTCAAACAATTTGCAAACTATAATCGTTCAGTGTTAATTTAATTTTTACTTAAGTAAGCGAAATTAATCGAAAAAAAATTAATAAATGTCACATATAATTGGATTCCCCCCCATAGCCGGCACCTGGTCCGAATGATTTGGCCATGTACCAGTAGCTCGGAATTTTGAAGTAGTCCAACTGAGATCCAGGAATCTGCATGACGCATTGATGATAATTGGGGCAGTTGTAATGTCCGCTTGGCATAAGCGGTGGATTAATCGTAACCGTCGGTGACTCATCCACTTCGTTCACACAGCTGGCTCTGTTGAAGCTGTTCACATTTGAAATTCGACATGGTTGCATAATTATCGGAGGTTGAACTGAATCACGTATGGTAACCCACTTTGGCAGAAAACTGGCTTCGTAATCGCTCAGGTTTAACGCATCTCTTGGTACCCATTTGTTCGGTGATAACGAACTCGATACCGAATTTGAAGCAATCGGTATAGCCGTGAAACCTGGAATATTCTGTTTTAAAAAGTAACTGAAAAGTATTATTTTCTTGATAAAATATTTACAAATTTATTTTACCTGACTGGATTGAGGATTATACATATTTTCTGAATCAATTTCAAATTGAAGACTGTTCAAATTCGTGCAACAATTAAAATCTGGAGTTTGAAAGTCGTAAATAGGGTATAGAGAATGGCAATAAAAATTTTCAGGATTGGTTCCTTGATAAAAATTTGGACTTGTGACTTGTATGGTGATTGGCGTCTTTATTTCAAACTCTTTTTCGTTTTCCTTACTGATGGAAGATATTAATTCAAAATTATTTTGACCTAAACTTTTCAAAACTGTTCTCACTCTGGCGTTACTTTTAGATGCTTCCGAATTTTTACAAGCGATTGGTTCTCTGCTTTCTTTCAATGCTGATTGATTGCACTGAATATTACTATTCTGTGATAGCTTTAGTTGGCTTTTGTTGCAAACAGGATATTGATTAGTTTCGTCTGCACTACTAGTTTGTATTTGAGCATCTGATGTCTTGAAAATAACTTCAAAATTTTTTAATTCTTTTTTTATTTGAGAACCAAAATTAACTTTCGGCTTGAAGGAGGCTTTTAGAGATACAGGCAATTTAAAATTTTTACTTTCTACGAAGTATTCAAAATCTGTGTTAACTCCTTTATCAACTAAAACTTTTTTAGGTGTTTCTTCGTTTTTGTGACAATGATGAAAGTTTTCTACAATAAAGTCCGACTGATTGGTGACAGGAAAAATTTGGTTCTCGGGAAAATTGTTTGAAGATTGTAAATTCACGTTACTTATAACTCTTCGAATAATGTTATCATCAGATTGGTTGCAAAACGTTTTGACTTCTTTATCTGGACTATGACACCTTTCATCTGCAACTATGTTATGAACGGTTTGTGGTCTATTCGATTGACTGCAGTCAAAATTTGTGACTGTTTCTTCCGTTACTTTAAAAATAGGTGACTTTTTTGTTTTTCGTTCTTCCTTTGAAATATTTTTCTCTAAAATGTAATGATCACTTCCCTTGCACTGATTATTTATTAAAGAATTATCTAGAATGTTGCTTACAACTCCAGACGTTAAACTATTAAGAATAGCTGTTGAACTTGAATGAATGCCTGGATCATCAGTAAAATTTGGTTTAAGGTTGACAAAATCTTTCTGAATATGAAAGTGTGAGCTCTCAGTGAGACGCGGCAGAGCTTGCTGGCAGATTGGACTCGAATATCTGGTAGGAGGCTGACAACAATCAGTTGCAAAATCACTACTTTCAGAAAAGTTCGTTGGTAGTTCTTTGAAATTGTATATAGTGCTTTTATGTGGTCGAAACTCTTCAATGTGTAGTTTTGGGCGAAAACAGCTACTGCAGCCTTTCAGTAACGTATCAGGAACGAAGTCAGCGGCGGCGTAATTAAAGTCCCCTTCACTTAATTCGATTATATCTAATTTTTTTTTATTACTAACATGAGCAGAGAAATTCAAATTGGAAATTGGGGAAGAGACTTCTGAGAAGACTGTCCCGTTCGATGAATTAAAATTTTTTTCCGGTAGCTCAATGATTGATTTAATACCGCAAAACGTTATCTTCCTTGGCAGCTCAAAATAAGTTGAATTTACCGTAGAAGCGTTCTTAAATGACTGCTCTGATTCGGTTGCTAAAGACTCCAAGCCAATCTAGATTAATTTGTTTCCCTACGATTACAATTATAAAATCATTTAAATGCAAAAATAAGTTTCTTATGCGTAAAATTAATTTTTTTATATAAACTAATCAGCTTAGCGAAAAGCGCCATATAAAATATAGGAGCATGCTATTGCATTAAAATTTTGCGAATGCCCAGTTTAAAATGATTTTAAAAAATTATGAAAAGTATATACGGTAAAGATGTTATCCATGTCAGACACACTATTTTGCTTTTTTTTGGTAGGGAAAGATTAAAATGAATTTAAATATTCAAAAAATTGAAACGATGTTGTGATGTTAAACAGAGAGTATTTAATGATGTTATCATGAAAAGTAGATTCCTATTTAAAGTTGACTGTTTTGCTATTAAAACGTGTTTAAAAACAATTTATTTCCAAGTAAGAAAATGATTTATTAAGAAATAATTTTAATGAATTACACAAACACGATCATTTAAACTTCAAATAATAATTCGTCAATTCGAAACTTTAAATGATAACAATGCCCACTAATGATTATGAAATATAATTACTGTTGATTAACACTTGCTAATTAAACTACAGAAAATATCATACATACGCAGAATCATAAATTTATCTTTATTTGTAGTTAATCAACAAAATCAAATCGTTCAGATTTTTGATTTAAATCATTGCAAAAATAATCATAATCGAACGTATGAATACGTTTTGAAATTAAAAATATTTGCAAATCTGCTGTCATACATTTCACATTTCATCCATGTGATCAGTAAACAATTGAGTCGTCATGGCTGAACATTTTTATATTATCTTATTACCTTCTTTCAGCGCCACATCATTCATAGAACTGAAAGAACTTTGTTTGAAATCTGGTACAAATACTGCATTCTGATTATTATTTGTCGGTGACCTACTAACATGTGCATGTCGATCCTGATAGATCATTCTGAGATGTTGCATAAATGATGAGGAGAGACTTTTGATGCTGCAACTAGACGCTATCAATCTTATCGTAGCACCAAACTGTCTGAAATTTTAAAGAATTGAAAATGCAAAAGATTTGAAGAACTCAATTAAAATGAATGTAATCAACACCCTCTTGCAAATGGAGCAACTCCAAATTCTTTTCAAATTCACCATCAGTCAAATCTAATTTAACGCAAATAATTATTGGAGGTTGAGCTTCAGTGAAATGAATGATTGGCACTTTTGGCTTTGGAATTTCAGTTGAATGTTCGTAAATATAGAATCCCTGGTTAATTTTTTTAACATCCACATCACAAAATGCGATCACCTTTTTTTGGTTTAATGGGGAAAGACTTCTGTACAGCTTTCTACCTTGTTTTCCGGCATTCCAAATTGTAAACGATGACCAATTTCTGATGATTCGCTCTTGAAGAAACTGAACTCTTAAATCCCAAATAACTGATTCAGATACAGAAAACGTTGAACAATTTTTGTGATATCGATATGTTAGCAGTACTTCTGGACATCTACACAGCTTACCAGCTAACTTCAAATGCTGGTAGAAAAATATTAAATCCTCTGGTGTTCCTTTCCCTGATTCATCAAAGCCTCCAACTTTATCAAATGTTTTTCTGTGAAAAATTAAAAGTAAAAGTATTAAGAATTTTTCATATTAAAAGCTTGGTCATATAAGGGTATAAATATAATTAGCAATGCCAATGAATGATTTTTATTTGTTAGAAAAATAAACTTTGACTTACAAGAATATTACTATCAGCACATAATAAAATAATTCTTAATTATTTTCACCAAATCAATCTTGAAGAAGCATGTTATAATTAAAAATATTCTTTTTTTTATATATTTAACAAATATATATTAACAATAAATGAATAATTAACTAAAAAAAACTGGGTGAAAACCTTGATATGAACCAAGTAGGCATGATAAGAGTTGGACCGTGTGAGGTAAATGCTTGTGTGTATAGCTGCTGGTTGGAATCTTCCAGATTGTTGGCCCACTTAGTAAACCTCAGAGTTGAGTCTTTGGGCCACCTAACAAATCTCGACCCAATGATTGCATCGAGGTTTTGAAGTGCCCTCCCATGCTGTACCCTGATTCTGTCTGCAGTCATGACATCATCAGAATCTAGGAAGCAGAGAAATCTGGCAAAAATAAATCTACAGTTACAAAGTGTTCTTTATAATTGTACACTATGATTGATATGGTGCACATATTTCAAATAAATGACTATTATCTCGTCAAAAAATCACTAAATAATATTGACAGATGTTGGCTTTACTCTTAGTTAAAATCAAATTTATGAAACTTATAAAAAAAATTGAAAATTTGCCCTAATAAGAATTATTCTGCAAAATCATTTGAAATTTTTCTGAACTTATAAAAACAACAAAAACAAAAGTTACAAATCTATTTTAAAGAAAGTTATTTATTTAACTTGAAAAATGTATTGTACGAACATAGACAAGTGAAGTGTGAAGAACTAACTCGCATACATAAAAAAAGAACTTAAGAAAAGAATCTGATCTATTGAAATTTATCATTCAATTAATATTAATCAACAGATCAACACATAACAACCTGCCACTGCTATTTTTGACTGCCCTATTCCTTGCATACCCAACACCAAGAGCAGCATTGTAAATGGATTTCTCTAGCACAACATCCAATCCATTATGAAGAAATTCTCTTTCCCATAGTTTCAATTTAGACCAACTTTTATCTATGCTGCAATCATCATATATACTCACCTGTTAGAATAAAAACAAGTTTTTTTTTTATTCTTACTCGTTATTCATCAAATCTATTTTTAATTTAATAATGATAACTGATAATATTACATTACATTATGATTACATTATATGATTATCATTATATAGATATATTATATTATAATTATAGGCTTTAATGTTAATATAGCTTCAATTATTAAATAGAGTTAAATGAAAATTAAAAATATCTTATAATAATATAAAAAAATCAGTGATGTTATTTAACATTTATAATATAATAACTAATCAGTGATTATTAAATATTAATCATAGAATCATAGTATTATTTTATTATTAACATTAAAAATTGAAGCTTCTCTGAGATGAACATAACATAAATATAGAATATATATATATATATATATATATATATATATATATATATATATATATATATATATTATAATAAATAAGAGACCTGAATTTTTCCATTAAAGTCTTGATCAAGTACAGATTTTAGACATTCATCTAACCACTCCTCTGAATTATGAACAGGTATGATTACGGAAACCTCAATTTCGTGGCATGTTTTATTTTTACATGTCATTTTTAACGAGTTCAGATTGAAATTTTGTCTATCCTAATCTAAATTAATTTTTAATTCATTAAATTAAGGAGTAAGTGAGATCAACATTAGTTAGTATTGCCATTGCTGTTGTTAAGTTAAAAAAGTTGAACATTGCGGGCAAATATAATAAGCAATTTTGTACACTTTTAGAAAGACTTTAGAGTATTTTAATTTTACTAGAAGGGCATTGTTAAAAAAATAAAATTACCTAAATGAGGATTATATCTGACCGATATTTTTTATAAAACTAGAATTTTCACCGGGACATAGCTAGCAAACAGTCAGGAAAAGATCTATCGGCTAAATCCACCAATCCACTATATAAAAGCTATATTCCAAAAATCGAGCTATAGTGCTATATTTATGCTAAAAGGTAATTTGCCTATTTCTGCTACAGTGCATTATCTATTTGTTCCATTAAGCTATTAGAATCTATCATCATTAATTGTGGTTATATAAAAACAGCATCAAGTTTAGATAGTATAGTTCAATTCTTAGTTGGTGCATATTACAGTTAATGAAGTTGGGTTATTGGAATATGTGAATTATTATTTTCATTAACTGTAATTAATAACTGTCTAAGATGTTTCTGACTGTATATATATATATATATATATATATATACGTTGGCAGTGGCGTCACTAGGGTTGGTGTCACCCGGTGCGGTAACTCATGGTGTCACCCCTTTCATGACACCCCATAGACATACAGCATTCTTAGCAAAATTTATAAACACGAACAAGTTAAATGTGCTCGGCCGCGGCGCCTAATAATTCGGACGTCGAATTTGAATGGTATAAATGTCGAATACAAAAATGATTTGAACGAAAAAAATTTTATTCATAATACATTTCTGGGCGCTGGGCGGGTTAGGCTGAATTAATGATAAGAATAATTTCATGGAGGGACATAAAAACATAAACAGTGATATTTTGGTGTCACCCCCTGTGAGGGTGTCACCCGGTGCGGTCCGCACCCCCGCACCCCCCTAGTGACGCCACTGTATGTTGGTAATAGACCATAATTTTTACAATATTCTATAAATTCTACCGAATATGGTCTATTACCAACATTTACTCGAAGTTCTGCGACCAACCGACGTAATCTAACAATCGAACAAGATCGCGAGCAGCGACTGCTCCATCTCTCTCGAGAATTAGAAGTTAAAAAGAAGGTAGTTCAAGACTTGTCGAATCAACTAACTGAATTGTTGAATCAATGGGATCACTGTGATGTTGATTGCATTGTCAAGAATGAACTAAACTTATGCCGGAAAGAATTTATAAATGCATATATGCAATCATCAAAACTAAAACTTCATAAAATATTAACGCCAAACATTCGGTAGAATTTATAGAATATTGTAAAAATATATATATATATATATATATATATATATATATATATATATGATTCTAAGTATATAGATGAAATATGAAACTATATACTTAGAATATGTAGATAGATGTGAAACATGTAATGGATGTGTTAGATAGACATGTGGTAGATGAGGAAATATGTGAATAGATGATGAAACATTTTAAATAAATTGCGATTTCTTATTTGCCTGTGTTTAAAAGTGAACCAGGCTAAACAGCTTATTTGGGGTTGCTCAATTTGTTTAGTTATTATTAATTTAAAATAAATAAACTGAAAATAAAATACTTATTTTTAGGAAATATAACTCCATCCGAAATGAAATTGTATCTTGAAAAAGGCAATTTAGAATCATGTAAGGTTTTCTTGGCCTATAAGTTAAGTCAGGTCCATGCTGAAATTCTATATTCTAAAACAGGTGAATTTTTTTATTATCGCTATCTTGTTTGCTACGTTGATCCGTTAATAATGACATATTTTTTTATTTTCGGAGTTTGTTTGATGTTTCTTTGTATTAAAATTTGAAAACAGAAAGTCCAATCTCGTTGTCTTGTCGTCTGCCAGTTTTAAAGTTGAATGATGATGAGAGGAATAATGTTTTCATTTCAAATGCCATTGTTAGGTTAAAAATTAAAAATCTTCATTTTATTATTAATAAATATTTAACTTTATTATTAATATCTAGTTTTGTAATTTATTTATATAATACATTATTTGTTTTGTATTCATTAAACTTAAATGTCGAATAGTTTTATTAAAAGATGTAGGGAAATATGTCTTGCAATGCAAGTTAAAATAAATGAGTCTGTCAAAATGACATTTATTTTAAAATTAAATTAATAAAATATAAAATAATATTTGTGTGTATTAAAATTATTTTATTATCAGATTTATTACAATAATGATGAATTATATCAGAAATTCATCTCAATTAGTATTATATTATATTTTATATTTTTTTAATTAATTGCTAGTTTGTTTCTAAACAAGTCTCGTGATGTAACCAAGGAAGAACAGATTGAAGATGATGTCATCAACGAATTCGAAACTCTTCTCCTAAGAGTTATTTAATTAATTAATTTTAATTAATTAAACATCACTTAATTTGATTTAAATTCTGTTTAAATTTAAATAATGATAATTAAAGTGATTAAATTTTATAAATTGAAAATTAATTCAAAAACTTTGAATTATCAACAGCCCTTGGTGCACCAAACTTTATTAACCCACGCTGGACCTAGTAGCACCTTCACTGACGAGTCACTGGCAGATTTGAAAAACATTCTACTAGAGTCAAACAAATTTCTTTCAAACAAAGTTGATAGTTTCTGTAATTCAATTCAACCACTTCAATCTCTTTTTTATTTTCAATAATTTTTAATAACAAATTTTTCAAGAGAAGATTAGTATTTTGTCAAAAAATATTTGAATTTTTCAATTTTATTATAAATAAAATTAATTGTTGTTGTTAACAATGTCAGATATCAGTTGGGATGATTAACTTGTGGTTCTCACTTCTGCCTCTCGTTCATACAGTTTCACCATTCAGAGCATGTAATCATTTTTTCATTCAATTTTATTCAACTGTATTTAATTATTTTTATGTATTTTTTCATATAAATTATATTTTTATTATTTTCAGTATAATTAATTTCATTATTTATTGTAATCATTTTTCAAGGGGTTTCTAAAAATCATTCATGGCTCGTACATTGGTTTGATGAATTTTTAGGGAATGATTTATTCCTTAGCTCTGTGAAGGAAGTTTTACCTGGTTTTTCTTGGACCACATTATGTGTCAGTTGTGATTGCTTCTGTCGACGTTTGTGTTAATGTTTTTAGATGATGCTATTAATGTTGATAAGACTAATGTTGCTTGTGTCTGTATTTTATAACATTCTGTTGGGATAAATGCAGAAATTAACACAAGTATCTAAAAAAAATAATGAAAAAAAACCATAAAACGACATTATTAGTGCTATGAACTAGTTATCCATCAAAACATTGGCATATAATAAACTTTGCTGACATTAATTATTTCAAGAAACATCAATGTAAAATACACTCTCAATCTATCTGTTCAGAAAAACATTAACGAGAAATGTCGTTAAGCCTGTGATGTAGTCATTTCAAAAAGACATTTACATAAAAAACTCAAATGATTTTTTTTGGTTTTAGAAAGATCTAGCCAACCATTGTACAAATCCTAATGTATTAACATTATCTGAAATGAACATTGATGCTAAAGATAGGGGACATGTGCATTCATCAACTCCCACTACTGAGGTTTTTAGCATTGTGAAGTTGCTAGTGTTGTTGTTTGTGTTGTCTGTATTTTATTGTTTGGTTAATGTTATCATTGTTGTGATGTCGTTTCTAACGTTTTGGTTGGTGTTGTTTTGTGATTATATTAGTTGCTGGTTGTTTACTGAATTTCATTCATGCTGGTTTTACTCATTGTTATTATTATTAATATTGTTATTATTATTATTATTATTATCATTAGCCAAATGCTTCGGATGAGGAGTTGAAATTTTTGAGTGACATATTTGAGAATAGTGCTGAGTCGTCGTGCCCCACGAAGTTAAGGAGGAAAAGAACTGCCCCGATGTATGTCGTCATGATGATGATGATGACGGTGATGATGATGATGATGACGGTGATGGGGAATGGAATCAACATGGAATGATTTTGTAGCAATGATGTTAATTGATATGATTATTATGTAATCCTTATCATTGATTAAGTGCTTGATTAAGTGCTTGTTCTTATAATAATAATACAACTAATATAATAATTTAATAAGTAATTAATTTATCAATATTTATAAAAAAAAAGAAATTTATATATATATATATATATATTTATTTTAAAATTTTCCACACACAACAAGCCTCCCACACGAAGGTGACCACAATCTATTAGTGACGAGCGCCCTTCCTTACGTCAATAACGTTCCTCACCTTGGGAACATCATCGGCTGTGTGCTAAGCTCTGATGTCTTTGTAAGGTCTGTGTGTGTGTGTGTGCGCGCGCGTACCTGTGTCTGTATGTACTTTTTGTAGTTAATTATGTTAATTAACTTTATAATAAATTATAATAAATTATGTTAATTCTTGCCAGGTATGCTCGACTGCGTGATTACAACGTGTTGTTCGTATGCGGCACAGATGAGTACGGCACGGCCACCGAAGCCAAGGCCCTGGAGGAAGGTCTGACACCGAAGCAGATTTGTGATAAGTACCACGAGGTTCACAAGTCCATATATGACTGGTTCGACATCAGTTTCGATAGATTCGGCAGGACGACTAATCGACATCAAACTAAGTTCGTGGTTCATTTTCTCTCCGTTGTGATTTTCAAATGATAACAATTAACATGAGGAACTATTTTAAAGATAGTACTGCTGACAATAAAAATTATGACGACAGTAATTATATGCTGTTGTCACAGGCGCCAGTCAACAAAAACATCAATCAAATACTCACTGACCCTTAAATTTAGACAAACGACACCATACATAGCAAAACACATCGCACACATACACACACACACCACTCACACACACGCACCACTAACATACACACACCAAACACGCACAGGATTGCACAGGACATTTTCTGGGACCTCTACAACAATGGATACATTTTGAAGGATTCTGTCGAACAGTTTCTATGTGAAAATTGTGATAGGTAGGCGGTACAGGTTCACTTCTTAGTTGGTATATACCGAAAACAAAAATGAATTGTCATTTTTCATTTTTATATTAAAAGATATGAGATGCCATTATAAAATATGTCTGCCAACATCATGACTCATCACAGTTTCCAACGATAAACACTCATCATCAACATTCTCATTATTATCACCACATATCTTTACCAACCAAGATTTCTGGCAGATAGATTTGTCGAGGGCACGTGCCCTTACTGTCTGTATGAGGACGCCAGGGGCGACCAGTGCGACAAGTGCGGCAAACTCATCAACGCCATCGACCTCAAGAATCCGCAGTGCAAGGTCTGCAGAAGTACCCCGTGCATCCGACAGTCCAACCATCTCTTCCTTGACCTTCCTACTGTTAGTTGCCGGACGTGTTTTGTAGCTGGTGTCTCTGTGGTGGTCTGCTGCTATTGTCGTTGTCGTTGTTGCTGTCGTTGTTGTCGTTGTTGCTGTTGTTGCTGCTAAGGTAGCAATCACAACTCCACCCGCCATCACGAACTTCAGTTGGAACCTCGACTGAGTAGCCACCTGGATAGAGCAATGGAGCGAGGCATTTGGTCGACGAATGCAAAAACGATTACGAGGTCCTGGATCAGAGATGGGCTGAAACCGAGGTGCGTCTCCAGGGACTTGAAGTGGGGTACCCCTGTACCGCTGGAGGGGTACCAAAATAAGGTTTCTGGTCCATTTTCTAATTAATTATTTTTTTAGTTTTTTTTTATTTGAATTTTATTGTTTGTTTATAACGAAGGTGTTCTACGTGTGGTACGATGCTCCGATTGGTTACATCTCCATAACAGCTGACTATATTGATGAATGGAAGAAATGGTGGATGAATCCAGAGCAGGCTGGTTGATTAATTAGTTGATTGCTCAATTAGTTGATTGATTGATTAATTGGTTGGCCGAATACATATATACAAACGCTCACATACATATGCAAAATATACATACATACCTTGCATGCATGTGTTATAGGTTGAGTTGTACCACTTCATGGCGAAAGACAACGTTCCATTTCATAGTGTCATATTCCCATCGACGCTTCTTGGCACCAACCAGCCATGGACGTTTGTCAATCATCTTTGTTCTACAGGTAGGTTGGTTGTTTGGTTGGTTGGTTGGTTGGTTGGTTGGTTGGTTGGTTGACTGTTTAGTTGATTTTTATTTTAGAGAATGAATTAGCGGTTGAAAGTTTCTTTGTGGTTTGACTAATTTTTAGATTGAATCATTTTATGAACGAGCTCATGTTTGTTTTTCATATAAAACATTTTAGAATATCTCAATTATGAAGACAGCAAGTTTTCAAAGAGCAAAAAATATGGTGTCTTCGGTGACAACGCCGTAGAAGCTGGACTTCCAGCTGATATTTTTAGATTCTATCTTTTGTTTATTAGACCCGAATCTCAAGTAAATGTTGTTTGCTTGTTTGTTTGTTTGATTGATTGATTGGTTGATTGATTGATTGATTGATCGATCGATCGAATGATTGATCGATCGATCGATTGATTGATTGATTGATTGCATGATTGATTGATTTGATTGATATGCACATCGAAGGACAGTGCATTTACGTGGGATGACTTCATGTTGAAAAACAATAGCGAACTTCTCAACAATCTCGGAAACTTTGTCAACAGGTTTGCACTCATTCACTCACTCACACACACACAAACAAACAAACACACGCACATACACATACACGCACACGCTTAGAGACAAGTCACTATTTAGTTTCTTCATAAATTAACATAGTCACTCACTTATATACTGTATATATATTGTATTTATTTTCATTACAATAATTATATTTTTCTATTTGTAGTATTTACCACCTGTTTATTGATTGATTGATTGATCGATCGATCGATTTATTGATTGATTGATTCATTCATTCATATATTCATTTTTTTATTCATTTTATTAATGACGAACTTGACCCCAGGGCCCTAATGTTCCTTGCCAATAACTTCGGTGGCAAAGTTCAAAAGGTCAAATTAACACCCGATGATAAAAAGTTCATCATGAATGTGTCACATGAGTTGGGATCGTATATTCAAAATATGGAGCATGTTCGGTATGATGATGATTGTGATGATGATAATGATGATGATAATGGATGATGATGATGGATGGTGATGATATATACTGTCTTGAAGACAATCATTATTGTTAATATTGTTTTAGTCTCCACGTTCATCATCATTATATCATTTCTTCATCACTCGTTGTCACTATTCTTTTGCATACGTCCCCATCACCATCACTTTCACCATCATCTTCTCAGTTCATACTATGTCACAGTCGTCACCTTCTTTGTCATCTTCATCATCACTTTTATCATCGTCATCTTCATCATCACTTCATCATAACTTTCTTCATCATCACATGGACAGATTAAGAGATGGCTTACGAAACATACTCAGCATATCCTCGCTAGGCAATCAGTACATGCAGTCCAATAAACCTTGGGTCCTCATCAAGGGCTGTAATGATGACAAGTAAGCGATGATGATGATGACGTGATTGCGTCATCTTCTACACACCAACAAACACAAACGCACACACACAGATTAAGAGCAGGATCGGTATGTTCTTTGGCAGCCAATGTGGTGCACCTGATAGCCACCCTCCTCCACCCGTTCATGCCTAAAACATCAACTGCCATGTTGCAGCAGCTCAACGTCGCCACGAACACTGCAGCTGCTGCTTGCACTGCTGCCGATGCTGATGATGTCACTAATGGTCATCAGTTTGTGTTGGATGAACATTTTAGATGCTACCTCAAAGATGGACATTGTGTCGGCGAGGTGTGGTTTTTATACTATGATAATATTTATATTATTTAATATGTAATAATGTTAGTATTAATCATATAGTGCACTGTGTAGAAAAGTCAGTGGTGTTTGAAATTAGATTTGCAAAATCACGCGGCACACACGCACATGCACACACAACACGTATATAAAGCTACTGTGGCATTTTTTCTGTATCATTTTAAACGTGGTTTCTTGTGTTTGTATCGTTTAGAATTAATTAATTTATTTTTTATCCTTTTATTTCATTTTCTCATATTTTTTAATTTAATTTGAAAACAAAATTTTCAGGTGAAGCCACTATTCCAGAAGATAGAACAATCGCACATCAATGAGCTGAAGATCAAGTTCTCCGGAAAACAGGTTTCTGTCACGGTGACGATGGTCGTAATGACGATGACGACGGCGACGATGATGTTGGTGATGTCAAATATGATAGTAGCTATTGCATTAATTTATTCACGCAGCAACAGCAGCAGCAGCAGCAGCAGATGAATGGAACAGTGGAAGGGATGGATGAGTCGTCGTTGTCTCTTAAGATTCAGCATCAAGTATGCCGTTAGTTACTTCCATCTCGTGATAGTCATCGTCTTCGTCGTCATCACTGTTATCTTTATCTCTATCGTCACTTTCATCATCTTAATTATCATCTCCATGACATTAACACCGTCATTCTCACTCACTCACTCACCAAACGAACAGGGTGATGTAGTGAGAAAGCTGAAGGAGCAGAAGGCAGAGAAAACGAAAATAGATGAAGAGGTGAAAGTTTTGTTGAAACTGAAAGCCCATCTTAGTGCAATTTCGGGAAAACCCATGCCAGCGTCAGCTCCTGTTTCTAAGAAGGCGAAAGGGAAAAACCCAAAATAGAAACTAAAAACTCGAAAACCTCATAATGAACTATTTAAATCTTTTTTCGTTTAAGGCGTAGTTTATAACCACTGCTAAAAGTTTCACGGAATTGTTTGCTTTCCTTAGTTTTCTGATAATTGTTTAAAAGACCCGGCTAATGTTACGAGTGTGTAGTTATCGTTATAACTGTTATTCTTGTTGTTATTACTATTTTTGTTATAACTATCATTATTGTGATGTCATTATTTTTGAATGTTGTTAAGAAATGGTTTTGGATGGTTTCTGAGTTGTGTAGACTAGAGCTAGGAAATTAATCGATCATTATGAATTGAATTTATAATTAATTAATTGAATAATTAGCTAATCAACTAGTAAATTGATTAATAAATTAATTGATTGTTAATTAAGTTAGGATTTCTTTTTTTATCATATTTTATTTATGGTCTCTGGGCTTTTCTGTTTGTAAAATTTTGTTATCCAATAAATAAATAAATAATATTAATTAATTAATAATAATGATATAAAGAATACTCTGACATATGGAAAATTTGAATTGATTTTAAATTCATAAAATTAATTATTATTAATTAAATGATCCCATCAAGTTATTTATTTGTGGCTGATGAAGTCCAATCTAGACACCGGTTGTGCTATGCTGCCTCCTATACTCCTTCAATCTGTCGGGATGAATCGAACATGTTATGTAATTATTTAGGTGTTTCTAGGTTTTATGTTTTTAATAAAAGTTTTTTTAATTCGTTTCTTGTTAGTTAATAAAATCAAATTTTTGTCGTAAAAATTTATAAAATTTAAATTGTTATGTTATGTCGCAATGACTGGATTAATTTGTTACCTAAAGATTTAGTTGAGTCATGCGGTTTTGCGTGAGGCGGTTCATAGGTTAGCGCGTGTCTCCCGTTTGTGACATTTAAATTTGTAAAAAAAGATCTCTGTTTTTGCCATTTTTTAGTTTTCCGTTTCTGTCAAAGTCGTTGGGAGTATCAAGAAATAAAGCAGCGATGAAAACTGTAAAAGAAGTTGACACAGAACACGGATACGATGTTCAAAGCCAATCTCAAATTGAAAATACGAATAACTTAACCTAAGAGCCTGAATCTTTATAAATCCACCAGCGTCTTGCGGGTCGTAGTCCCCCTTTGCATCCATGCTAAAAATTATGAATAAGTTAATGTTATAATTATTGCTATTAATATTATTATGTATAAAGTATAATTAAATGTGTACTGCCACGTTAGCGTTTGATTAGGCTTACAATAAAAACGCCCTTCGAATACTCTATGAACCAGTCATTGTTTATGTACATTTCACATAACGGACGTAAATATATAAACGTTTTAAATGCGTATTGCATACGTATGCGTACAATACGTACTGTACGAGATTATTTGTACATAGATGTACAACCAACCTCACAAGCTCCTTGTTGTACAGCGTTCTAGAAGAATGTCTCTTGATGATGTACACTTGACCTTTATAAAGGTCAACTGTCACCTGGCCTGTGACGTCATCCTGACTCTTCCTTATGCACGATCTCACGTATTCGGCTTCTGGACTGTGCCAATAGCCTTGGTAGACCTGAGGTCGTGTGTTTTGGCGTGTTGTGGCTAGCGTGAAGCAGTGTGTGATAGCTCATCCGGATTGAGGAAAGAATGTTCATAAACGGTTATTTATATCTGTTTCGATAATGATTTATTTTAAAGGTTGATTATATCTGTATCGAGATAATTTATTTTAAATTATCTGAAGACATTTGAGCAGTATTTGAAATATTTTAATACGATAATATAACACGTAAAAGGTAGCGGTATATATTGACCACTACCTATAAATAAAAATGCAATACTTCCCATGCACACACATCATCAAATCATCACCACCATCATCGTCGTCGTCATCATCATGAACTCATTGACCTGTTCAGCGAACATAGCAGCGAGATGTCGTTTAATTTTTCTGACCTCTCTGTCTAGGGTCAGAAGTTCAAGGTCGAGGTGTGCCTGGTACAATACCGTTCCTGCTGGCGTCTCATAGATGCCTGATAGTTTTGAACTATTCAAATTAAGAAGTTGTCTTTCATTGGATGGATGGACGGGTGGAAGGATGGATGGACGAATGGAGGGATGGATGAATGAATGGGTGGATAGATGGATGGATGGATGGAAAAAATAATAAGTGAGAAAAATGATGATCGATCGATTGATTGATTGAAAAATTAATTCTTTCGTTCAGAAATTGTGTGAATGATACGATTAAAATTTTACGATCGTACAGTTAGTTTCATTGGCGAATAAATTCTCTTTAAAATAATTAAACAAATATAAACAAAACAAAACAAGTTAACAAAAAATAAATAATTTTAAACTAAAAATAACCGATCAGTCAGTCGGTCTAACCTCTGGACTTCATACCGATGTAGCGGTTCTCAACAATATCGATTCTTCCGACGCCATGTGCCATCCTTAAATGAATTGATTCAATAACAATATTCGCTATTTTAACGAAGTTAGCAACAAAAATCAGTTTCAATTGACATACTAGACGTACTATAATTAAAAGGTAAGTTACGAATTATACAACCGGGTTTAAATGCATGCACTGCCACTAAAATATTTTTAAAACACGTAACTTTATCTGCTTACACGTAAACTGTAAAGGAAAAAATTCTGGTAGGATATTCGAGAAAATGAAAAAATATAATAAAATAAAAATATAACAGTAATAATTTTAATAATAATAATAATTGTTATTATTATTAATTATTATTATCATTAACTAACGCCATCTCGTTGATGTACTCGTAGAGTTTCAGTGAACTTTCACGTTCCTCACTGGTTGATACATTCTTCACTTTTACTGGCACTCCTAGTCGTTTTCAATCCACCAATTACTTATTTAATTAATCAATCAATCAACCAATTAATCAATTAATTAAGTATTTTTTAATAACTAATTGAAAAATTAATTAATTGATGGGATAAATAATTAGTTAGACCTTTAAGAAAGGTAATCTCCAGTCTGCATGGTTGGTCTGGAGCGGCACTTGGATGTTTGGTGAGGAGGAAGATATCACTAGGAGATTCAACTTCAGGATCTTCCAGTATTCCCCCTTCATAACTTTGCCAACATTTTAACCCAAAGATTATTAATACTACTAAGATTAAATTCGATATTCGCAACTGTTGATGAATCGAGGACTTTCAATGAAAAAAGCCCACACGTGTTAGCAAAATAACCAAATTTCATAAGCACGTTTTACTTAAATACGTTTAACGAAACCGGCAAAATGTATAAAAAAAAACATGCATACTTCATGAACCAGTTAAATCGTAACCGTTATTATTATTAATTATAATTATTATTGCTATTATTATTATTATAATTTTTTCTCTTCCCCTTCCCTGTACCTGACGTGGAACAAGTTAGCATCGATACTCCACGGCGATTTCGGAGTGACTGGAAGTGGTATGCTATGTTGCTGGCGGGAAAGATTTTGAATTTTTAAATTTATTATTTGTTATTGTCATTATTAGTATTTATTATTGTCGTTGTATTTTATTATTTATTATTTGTTATTATTATTATTATTTATAACTGTTGTTGTGTTTTATTATTGTTGTTGTTGTCGTAATTGAAAAAGTTGTTTGAATTAGAAACTGACTCTGGCATATTCGAAAAGGTCGGTCCGGCCGTTGAATCTCTCCAGAAATTCCTCTATTCTCCACGGAGCTATCACCTAGTACGTACCACACAGAAAATATTACAAAAAAAATTTCTTTCGCCTAGTGTTTTAAATTGAGAAAAAAGAAAGAGGAAGAGCCGATAACATGCAAGCAGCGCATGCTATGCGTTGGTTCAAGTGCATTCACGTATAAGAGCTGGCTGTTGTTTTGGGTGCCCTTGAAAAATATTAAAGTGATAAACGAATTAAAAATAAAAGTTCAAAAGACATAAAAACTATCAGAGGACCTTGATATCTGGCTTGAGCGAGTATGCGGATAGTTCAAACCTCACCTGATCATTCCCCTTGCCCGTGGCACCGTGTGAGATGTGACTAGCCCCTTCTACATCAGCCGCATCCAGCAAGCCCCTGGTTCCGTATATATTTTCCATTTATAGTTATCTATTCATTTATACATTTCCATATTTGCAAGTATTTGCGTTAAAAATAGAATGCGCGTATGTGTGTGTGTGTGTGTGCTACTTGGCAATGCAGGGTCTAGCCAGGGAGGTACCCATATGGTACCTGTCCTCATACAGTGCACCGCTCTGTATGGAGTACCACACGTAGTCTTCAAGAAATTTCTCCCTGACGTCATCGATGATCACCTGATTGGTTGATTAATTAATTGATTGATTGATTGGTTGGTTGGTTAATTGGTTGACTGATTGGTTGATTGGTTGGTTGATTGTATGATTGATTGGTTGTAATTATTTATTAAAATTAATCAAAACGAATTCAATTAAAAGACCGTAAGACCTTCTTAGCTCCTAGCTTCAGGGCTTTGAATTTCAGTTCTTCGAAGGAATCTTTCTGCCCGATGTTGGCCTAATTTTTTAAAATTGACACTCTTACTCTATTACAGTTTAATTCTGCATTTATTACATTACAATTAAATATTGATTTAACGAGATTAATATGTCACACGATTTATAGGGTACATAGTTTATTAACTTAGTGATACGTTAAATTGTGTACAGTACATACTCGCACCTTATTTAACTTAATTATTTAAAACTGACAAAATTTTAAAACTCCGAACAACGAAATGCTCAACAATAGCAAACGAACAACAACAGCCAAAAACAAAACCGAACAAAAGTGATACTTACCACAAAATTACGCGACGAACATTTAAACACAACAAACGAACGAACGAATGAACGAACGAACGAACCACATAAGCAATGACGTCATAGCCCTGTTCAATGAGCCAGACGAGTATGCAGGAGGTATCGAGGCCACCACTGTACGCCAAGACTACCACATCCTTTCCACCAGCACATCCTGTGTTCTTGATGTTGCTGGAATCGTTGGTGTTGTTGTTGGTGTTGTTGGTTTTGTTGTTATTCATGTTGTTGTTGTTGATGTCATTGATGTTGTTGTTGTTGTTAGCTTCCATTGTCTGAGGCTTTGAAATGTTTTTAAGAAGAATGAATTTCTAATTAAATTCTCAGTTTATTCTTATAATTTCAAATTTTATTTCATCAATATTCAACTTATTTATATTGCTAGATATTTTTCCACTTAATTCACCAAATGTTATAAACTCATTTTGGAAACCTCTCAAAAAAATGTGCATAGCGGTCCTACTAATCCTGCTGCAGCTAAAGAAATATCTCATGTAACAGATGAGGATGATTGCGCGCTCTAATTAACCCATGATTTGTTTATAAATATATATATATATATATATAAATATATATATATATATATATATGTGTGTGTGTGTGTGTGTGTGTATATATATTATATATATTGTAGAGTTTAGCTTTCTGTTTAATTTTTCGAACCATAGAGGTAGATGGTAAATCATCGTCAAGTTTCTTGAGTTCAAAACCAGAATTTTTATTTATGATAAGCATGATAGAACACTTAAGCACGATAGAACGAAAAAACTTTTCCGGTATTCCTATCTATTACCATCTTCGGTGATCGAATTGATACGTTGTATATGTGGCCAAATGCTCAAGTATATATAAGTGTTAAATGTGGATACTTAACGGTTTATCATTAATATATATATATATATATATATATATAATATATATATAATATATATATATATATATATATAGTTATACATATTTCAATCATCTTCATCATTTACACGAGATTTACCTTATCGTCATCATCAACAACATCATCATAAACAACAACATCATCATCATCAACAACATCATCATCATCAACAACATCATCATCAACAACGACAACAAATCATAATCATCATAACCGTTAATAAACATGACGCGTGGTTGTTAATAAGAAGATAATCCACCATCTTCTGTGGTGGGATGGGACACGGGAGAGAGAGAGAGAGAGAAAGAGAAAGAGTGAGAGAAAGAAAGAGAGAGGGAGAAATAAATATATGTTTACGGGTGTGTATGTGTGTGTGTGGGATGGGACACGAGAGAGAAAGAGAGAGGGAGAGATAGATAGAGAGAGAGAGAGAAGAGATAGAGAGAGAGAGAGAGAGAGAAAGAGTAAGAGGAAGAAAGAGAAAGGGAAAAATAAATATATGTTTTGCGGGTGTGTGTGTGCGTGTACGTGTGTGTGTGTGCAACAACAACAACAACAACATTTATAGCAAATTATATCAACATTCCAACAAAGTATATTTACGTTAATTTTTTTAAAATGTGTCCACTCTTTAAAAAAAATTTATAAATGTTCATGAATACTCATAAATATTTATGAATATTTAAAATTTTAATAATATTCATGAATATTAAAAATATTTATGAACATTTAAAAATTTAATAATATTCATAAATATTAATTAATGTTTATGAATATTTAGTGATATTTTTATACTAACAAAGCAAAAGTATGTATGGTAAAGACGATCCAACCAGCCAGACGATATTTCAATTTCTAACTCATGAATTTTTGTTTCGCACATGGTTTAATAATAAATAAATAATTTATACTGGCACATAACTAGATCTTTTTTTAATTTTTAGAAAAAAAAACAACAACAACAACAACAACAATAAAGCATCAACTGAATGAAAGATTATTAATAGCTACTATAGTAACGATATTAATGTCGACAACAACATCATCAACAATAACAACAACATCAACAACAACATCATCAACAACATCAACAACAACAACATCAACAACAACAACATTAACAACAACAACATCAACAACAACATCAACAACAACAACAGCAGCCGCAACATCAACTTATGAAAGATGAAGATGTCATCATGGCTGACGGCATTTACGTGTGTCACTACTCTATCGATGATGATGATGATGATGACGAAGCTGACGACGACGATGATGATGATGATGATGACGACGACGACGATGATGATGTTGTTTTATTTGAATTTAGATATAACTGTGAAACACATTAATGTCTTAATGTCTCCCTTGTTATTGTAATGACTTTGTAATTGATATTGTTGTGGATGTTATTAATGTGATAGAAGCTGTTGTTATTGATGTAGTAGTTGTTGTAGTGGTAGTTGTTGTTATTGTCGTTGTTGTGGTCGATAGATTGACCACAGAGAATGATTTAGCGCAATTAGCATCTCACTGAACATTTCAGTAGAATTCAGCAGCGCGTATCATCAACACAACATGCATGCCTCACTGATTTTGTTGTTGTTTGTTTGCTTGTGCGTGTTTGTTTGTGCGTGTAGTTGTTTATGTTGCTGTGGAGTTTGTGTGACTGATTGTTTGTGTGACTGGTTGTTTGTGTGTTTGTTTGTGTGGTTGTTTATTTGTTTGTGCTGTGTGTTTGATTTTATTAGTAAACTCTTTTAGGTCATATTTGATTGTTTGTAATTTTTCGCCATTGTCATCATTATAATCATGATCCTCATCGTCATCATCATCATCTTTGTCATCATAGTTGTCGTCGTCGTCATCATCATCATCATCGTTGTCATCATCCTCCTCCTCATCATCATCATCACGGAAAAAGAACAAGTCCATAACTGACAAATTAATGCGAGTTCACTCACTTACCTACCCATTCAGTCACTCTCCATCCATCCATGCTTCTTTTCTTTTATTTTTTAAGTTTTTCTTTTGCTATTTAATTGATTAATTCACTTAACTCGTTTGCTTACTCACTCGCTCCTTCGCTCCCTTACTCACTCGCTCACTCGCTAACTCGCCCACTCACTCATTCACTCACTCGCTCACAAGCTCACTCACTCACTCACTCACTCACTCACTCACTCACTCACTCACTCACTCACCCACCCACTCACTCACTCACTCACTCACTTACTCACTCATTCATTCATTCATTCACTCACTCATTCATTCATTCATTCCCAACGATCAACGTCCATTCGAGCGGACTTAACAACTCACTCCAACCTGCCACGGTGTGTGTGTGTGTGTGTGTGTGTCTGTGACTGTGGTTGTGTGTCTATGTTAGTGTGTACATGTGTATATGTGATTTTTGTGTATATCTGTAAATATACGTGTGTGCTTTTGCGTTAGTGTTTATTGTATGTGTCTATAGGTATCTGTGAAGATATGTACGTGCGTGTCTTGTATTTGTTTGTATATGTGTGTATGTATGTGTGTGTGCGCATGTGTGTACGTGTTGGTAGTTTTGTTAATGTGTTTGTTGTTGTTGCCTAAATTTTTTGTTAGTGTTGTCATTTGAGTTGTTGATGACATTTTTTAATGCATCGTAAGATGAATGATGAAGCCATTCAGTCTGTAATATTTGGAAAACTACTACAACGATACTATTATGAAGTATTTCATCATACAAACTTCAAAGCAAACACACACATACACACACAAACAAACACACGCACACACACACACACACGTAAACATACAAACACACAGTTTATGTGTAGCTAATACGGTTGCGTGTGTGAAGCCAATTAAAGATTAAAACAGAAGGTTATTAAACCTTCGCCCTAAAATTTCCACAAAAATTAAAAATAAATTAATGACTTAATCATCAGTTAATGATGATGATGGTGATGGTAATGATGATGATGATGATTGTGATGATGATGATGGTGATGATGATGATGATGATGGTGGTGATGATGATGATGATGGTGGTGGTGATGGTGGTGATGATGATGATGATGGTGATGATGTCATCATCAACAATCATCATTATGGCGATGATGAACTTTCATATTACAATAACATCATCATCCTCCTCCTCATCATCATCATCCTCATCATCATCATCATCATCGTCAACAACAACAATAACAAACTTAAGGTTCCAATTAAGCGACCCTATCAACACGTCTTCATAACATCACACTTGAGATAATAATAATAATAATAATAATAATAATAATAATAATAATAACAAATAATAAATAATAATAACGTCTATCTAAACTAAACTCTTCAATCATGGGTTCTTTTTCTTCCTCTTTTTCTTCTTCTTTTTCTTGTTGTTGTTATTATTATTAACAATCGTTTTTACTATGAATATAAAATTAAAACAATAATCAGCCTGATGATAGACGATGATGATAGTAAAAGAAATGATGACGATGGTGATGATGAATATAAGGATTACAATGATGAAGTGGACGAAGAAGAGGAAGAGGAAGAAGAAGAAAAAGAAGAAGAAGAGAAAAAGAAGAAGATGATGATGATGATGGTAATGATGGAGGTTGAGCTTTCGACTTGCATATGCAAAGTGTTTGGATGGTATGTCACCAAGCTGGAATGTACGTGTGTATTATGTTTGTACGTGTTCACTTGTTTGTATGTGTTCACGTGTTTGAATACTTGTTTGTATATATTTGTATGTCTCTGTGTATGTTTGTTTCTATGTGCGCACTTGTTCTGCTGTGTTTGAATGTGGTTTGTTATATACACTTTGTTGTATATAGATGGTTGTGTGTGTTTGTGTGTGTGTGTGTGCGCGCGCGCGTGTGTGTATGTGTCTGTGCGAATGAGTTTTTATGTTTACGATTTTTAAGATAAAACAAATATGTTTCAATATTTTTTAAGAAAATTAGAAATTTGGAAAATGAAAAAGGCGAAATGACACAACGGCCCCAAGCGGACGAATTCCAGTTATTTGTTGTCCCTTCACAATCCACATGAGTGAACTCCCAGAAAGGCAGGTAGTAGCGGAGTTGCAGGCTTACAGTTTGTAAATAGAAAGGGCTGACAGAGTTACGAGTTTACAATTCTCATCTCGGCCATCAAAAATACAAATTTATTTTGTAAAATTTTTCTAAAATATCAATTTTTATTCAATTTACTGACAATTTTGTAATGAAAAAATGCGATGAATAATCATTGATGCGTTCGACATTAACATTTCGAATATAACAAGAAACACAATAGCACACAAACTAGCACAGCTTTTTAAGCGTACACAAACCAAAACTCATACGCCTACATGAACAAACATAGATGTACACAAACAGAAACAATCAAACAAACAAACGAACGAACGAACAAACAAACAGACAAATAAAAACATAAAAACATACAAAAAATAATGAAAAACTTCATTCATCATAGAAACAAAAACAATCGTGCCGGCATTAAACGAGCATCAACTGCCAATCAAAGTTTCTAGACTTCTCCCAGTTTGAAAAACCGTCCAATCAGGTTGGAGTATAACGGTCAGTCAGCCAATGAGAGGCTGGTTATGTTGACTGGTTTATAAATCGATCTATAAAATGTGTGGACATTTTATGAATCTGTTAAATAAAAATTTTCTTACATTTATTTTCATTTATTTTGATTTGATTTTTGTTTAATTTTATTTGTTTTTCAACAATTTAATCATAAATCTAATGATAATTTACGATGGTTTCAATAATCAAATTCACAAATACAAAGACTGTTGTAAACATAAAATTTATTCGTCTCATTAGTTTTTTTACGTTAATATAAAATTATGATTTGTCTTGAATTGAACTTATAAGCATTTTGTAACCGTGAATTTCTCATAAAAAGTTCGTTTCCACGTTTCATTGTGTTAAAAAAATTCTACCCGTTGCCAAAACCAAAATATTTTTGCAGATGGGAGAGAATGTTTTGAATATTTTATGGTTTTTGGTGTTATTTTTGTCTGAAAAATTATATTTAAACATTTTACTTGACCATTTTTTGGTTTTAGAGAGAGTTAATGTGCCAGTATTTTCGTTATATTTTTTTTAAATTTCGTAGCTGGTTTGTAGGTTGGAATGTGATTATTTTTGTACTTGCCATCTCTTACTGGAACCTTACTTGGAAATAATAAATTTATTTGAATTTAAATTTATTCGATACGATGATCCATTTAGTTTATAATATGAAATCATTTTTATGCATGAAGACGATCTTAACTAAACTTAAAAGTATTTTTTTTCTCTAATTTTCAACATATTTCCACAACACATAAACAACACACACACACTTCAATAACTCACACATACAGATTTATCTCGGCGAACTCATTCACGCACCACACACAAACAAACTTATACCATGTCAAAAACACATTGAATACAAAATCATTTGTACAACATTGAAATACAAACTGTTAAATAAAATAAACAAACAAACATAAAAACAAACAAACAAACAGATACAAACAAACGACCGAACAAACAAACAACGATGGGCATAGTTGACATAAAACATTGCAGAGGATGTTGCCAGCCAATAGAGGACAAGTATTTGCTCAGGGTCAAGGACGAATGCTGGCATGAAGGTTGCGAAAAATTTTAATATTTATGAATAAATTTTAATATTATAAAATAAATTTACATACGTTATTTAATAATCGTAGCAATGTATTGAAAATAGTGAAACTGACGGGGGTTTATATCTATTCACATGTAATGAGATTTTTTAAAAATATTAACCCATACGTCATACTGAACAGTTACAAATGAATTTAATTAACTCCAATTAATTTCAAGTTTTAATTGCTAATTATTCACATTTAATATTAATTAATTGAAAATAATATTGTAATTAATGCAATGTAACATTTAATGAAACGTGCAGGTTGCGTTAAATGCTGTGCTTGCCAACAGACACTCAACTACACGTGCTTCTCGAAAGATGGACAACTCTTCTGTAAGGATGATTATGAGAAGTTAGTGTTGTTGCTGTTGTTGTTTTGGTGTCGTTGTTGTTGTTGTTGCTGCTGTTGTATTGGTTTTATTGTTAGTGTTGTTGTTTGCTTGATGATGTTGTTAGTGTTGTTATTGTTTTGATTATGAAAAATTAGTGTTGTTGTTTTTGTAGTTAGGTAGCTAGCATACATGGCGACCAGATAGTGTAGCGGTTAAGGTGCCTGGTCGTAGTACTGCAAAGACCTGGCTCGAACGCACAGAAATCCGCATCTTTCGCATGAAATGTGCGTGTATGATGCGGCGATTTGCGTGCCGTTGTGTGCACCTTCTTGTGTGGGTGGGTTCCAAAATACACCTTATGAAAACAACAAATATCAAAATACGCCTTATAAAAGTACAAAATACCAAAACACGCCTCATGCAAGTGAATACAAAATACGCACACGCACACACACACGCAGCCAGCCCAGCATTCGAAGACTTTGCGTCGGTGTTGCCATGGAGACAAAATGGCCGCCAAAGCGGAAGTCATTAAGTAAACAATAAATAACGACCGTGACGTCATCGTTGGTGACCGCGTGAGGGTGCGTTCATTAAATAAGTTTATAGAGCGCTCTATATTTATTTTCAATTTTATTTGATAAAGAATAAATAGCTTTTTGTTCTTGGTTGGGGGAGAAAAAAATGAAACATCTCAACAATAGAGATATAAGAACTACAATTAACAAGGGTACTATAAGAGTAATTGGGGTGATAAAACGCTGGTGATGGTGATGAATTTGTGAGGATGACATTGATGACAATGATGATGATGATGAAGATGATGATGTCGATGAAGAAGAAGATGATGAAGAAAAAAAGATGATGGTGATGATAATGATGATAGCGATAACTCTGCTTTTACTCTGATGTAATTTTTAGCGATTACAAAAGTATCGTCATCATCGCCGCAAACAGCGTCATCATCATCATCATCTCCTCCTCCTCCTCCTCCATCATATTAATAACGTAACCAACTACTGCGATCACGTGACGAGCTGATGAGTGACGTCATTGTGATGTTTGAAAATTATGTCCAGCTGATCGCGAGGGCAATTGCTATTTGCATTTGTCGACGATGGTGAAGATGATGACGATGGTGAAGATGCAGACGATGATGACAATTAAGTGATGATAAAAATGATGATGAACTGACAAACGTATTAATGATAATGAAATTATGATAACCAGCGCACTTACAATTGATCATGTTCTTCTTAGGAGTGTGTGTGCATTCAGCTGGCTCACTATAATGCTAAATATTAATTTCCAATCACACATAAAAAAACATAAACACATGCAAATGCACTAACAAGCACACATACAAACACCAATACAAACACCACATACACAAACACACATACAAACAAACACATTCGTACTCACACATACAAACGCTCTCACACACATACAAACACGCACGTACGCACGCAAACAAACGAAACAAACACACGCATACAAACACACGCACACACATACGAACACGTACAAACATACACACGCACACACACATACAAACTCGCATGCTCACACAATCGAATGCGTGGAAGAGTGAAAACCGGATGTGAGAATTGTGCACAGCGTCCAGCTAATGCTCCTTTATTAACGTGGGATGCTAATATAAACGACGGCGAGTCCATTTATTTTCACCGGGCATTCTCTCTTCTGTTTTCTTTCATTTTCTTCGTTCGTCTTTTCTTTCTCTCTTTCTTCCTTCTCTCTCTCTCTCTCTCTCTCTCTCTCTCTCTCTCTCTATCTCTTTCTCTATCTCTTTATTTCTTTTTTCTCTTGCTCACTAATTTCTTTTAAAACTCTTTCTTTCATTTGCATAGAAACGATACGCATACATACGTGTTAATGTTTTTTTTTATAAATATAATTGTTTTATTTGTATGTTTCATTCTTTTGTATGTTGTATGTGTGTTTGTATGTTTGCTTGTATGAGTCAAATGTTTTTGTACGTTTGTTTTGTATGTGTTAATTGTTTTTGCATGTTTTGTAATTTAATGTAATGTAATGTAATGTCATGGATGTAATGTAATGATTATGATGCGAAGTGATGTGATGCCACTTGTAAATGTGATGAATTTGTTGCGATCAGAGTTGATGTTATTAATGCTATTTAGAGAATATTGTAGAGTCTTATAAAAAAAATTTTACTCTGATAACTATATTATAGAGTGAAAGAGGAATAATTAAATAGATGGATGAATGAATGGATAGATGGATGAAAAGATAGATAGAAGAGTAGATGGATGGACGGATAAATGGATGGATGGATGAATAGATAGATGGATGAGTGATGAATGGATGAATAAATGGATGGATGGATGGATGGATGGATTGAGAGATAGGCGTTTACGATGAACACGTGTTGTTCATGTTGTTGATGAAGTTAGTGTTTGTGAGGATGACGTTGTTGCTGTTGCCGATGATGATGATGCTGATGATGGTGATGATGATGA